CCCCAAAACCCCCAAAACCCCAAAACCCCAAAACCCCAAAACCCCTAAACTTATTAAAATTATTGAAAATTTGAATTTTGTTCTACAGAAAAATGGGAATTTTTAGGTCAGAAGATATGAACTTGATCAAATGCGTCATGTCGAAGGACTCTGCCTTCGATATAATGGAAGCATTTGGAGAACTAGGAGTCGCTGATTTTATCGACTTGAACAAACACGAGCAAGTTTACGACCTGCCGTTTACAAAGCAAATCAGGCGATGCAATGATATTATCAGGAAAATAGACTTCTTGATAGAAGTCTGCCAGTCCCATGGGATCGAGCAGAGATCCCTCTCTAGTATGGCAGACTTTGAAGAAGCGAAAGAAGCCCTCAGAGAAGAGTTCAAAACTAGCAAATACGCAGTTTTTGACAAGATTGAGAAGGAGTGCGAAGAAAAAGAATCCTTTATCAATGATCAGACCAAGAACATCAAGGATATGTGGCATAATTATAACTATCTGCGAGAATACTGAGAAGTCTTGAAGAAAGTCTCTACTTTTCTTCTAAATTCACCCAATAATGTCAGGATTAGCAGATTCTCGAATTGTGGAAGCGATCCAGAGGATCGCAAGAAATCTGATGATAACTTTTTTAAGGTTGATTCAGAGTCTTCGAATGAAGAAATATCACCTGAAGGTTATCAAGCCCAAAACAAGATTCTTAACCTGAGCTATCTAGCTGGGATTGTCGAGAGAGATGAAGTTGAGCGGATGAAAAAGATCGTCTTTCGTGCTTCCCGAGGAAATGCTCTAATTCACTCAATGCCAATAGATATCGAAATCAAGGAATACCTTGGTCAATCTAAGCTGAAAGATGTGTATATAATCACTTTCCAGGAGGGAGAGACTCTTCGAGCAAAACTTGAAAGAGTCTGTGACTCTTTCAATACCGATCATTACCAGGTCCCAAACGATGATATCCGAAATAAGATTGAGCACATTAAAGACAAGATCAAAGAGACTGAGTATTTGATAAATACAACAAATAATGAAATGAGAGCTTATCTTTGCAAAGTATGCAAACTCAAAGAGACATATCTTGTTAATTCAGGAATATCAAGACTGATGCTATACAAGCTTATCTCTGAATATGATAAGGCTGTCTACTTGAACCTAAACAAATTGGTCCCAAAGACCTCACTTTTTCAGGGCTATTTTTGGTCAGCACGAGGTTCAGGAGAAATATTGCAGAAACTAGATCATGAAGAATGCTACTTAACTGAAATACAGTTTGAGGATAGTATGAATCATAAGATTCCTCCACCTACATTTTTCAGAACGAATGCTTTCTTGGACCCATTTCAAGAAATAGTTAACACGTATGGAATTCCGTGATATAAAGAAGCAAATCCAGCACTGTTCACCATTGTTACCTTTCCCTTCCTGTTCGGCGTTATGTTTGGAGATATAGGCCATGGAACAATCCTGCTTTTGTTTGGAGCCATCCTGTGCCTGTTCTCAGGGTCATTAGAAAATACAGCATTGAAGGATATGGTAAATGTGAGATACTTGATCTTACTGCTTGGTTTCTTTGCAACATTCTGAGGGTGGATTTACAATGATTTCATGTCTATTCCAGTAGAACTGTACGATAGCTGTTACACTATTAATTCTAAAACTACAGAAGTCGCTCTTAAGCAAGACTGAGTTTATCCAATTGGAATAGATCCTTCCTGGTATTTAGGTAAAAATGAGCTCACATTTGCTAATTCATTAAAAATGAAGCTTTCTGTTATTTTTGGAATCGCACAGATGTCACTTGGAATCTTCTTAAAGGCGTCAAATGCAGTATATTTTAAGAAAAAGTTGGAGCTTTACTTTGAATTTATTCCCCAAATCACACTCCTTTGGTGTATATTCGGCTATATGATTACTCTAATCATCGTGAAATGGCTGTCTCCGTACCCGGACTCAAGCCAGGCACCTGCTATTATTGCATACATGATTGAGATGTTTCTAAACTTTGGGGCGATATCAGGAAATGCTATAATCCATAGCCAGGGTATCAATGAGGCTCTTCATGTGCTTCTCCTTATGGTCTCTCTGATCTGTATCCCAACAATGTTGTGCGTCAAGCCATACCTTCTTTGGAGAGATATGAAAAAGAGCCATCATGAGCCTGGTGAAATTGAAATGCAAGAATTCTCTAGGGCGAAAAAGAACCAGTACCATAGATTTGAGGAAGAAGAAGACAAGCAGATTGGCATACCTGGTCAAGAAAAGGAAGAGATTGCTGGATTTGGTAAGAGAGCTCACGAGCAAGCTGATGACTTTGGACACCAAGAAAGCGATGCTTTGAAAGAGAGACTTTATACTTCAGTGGCAGATATCATGGGTGAAGATAATCACGCTATTAGTGAAATTGCTATCCACCAACTTATAGAGACAATTGAGTTTGTGCTAGGAACTATTTCGAATACAGCATCTTATTTAAGACTTTGGGCATTAAGTCTGGCTCATTCACAGTTAGCAGCAGTGTTCTTCGAGAAAGTTCTAGAGGAGTCTTTTGTGATGGCAAGTCCTATAGGACTCTTTCTCTTATTTCCATTGTTCGCAACAGCTACCATTGGGGTATTAATGTGAATGGATGCTATGGAATGCTTCCTACATACTCTCAGACTTCATTGGGTTGAGTTTCAGAACAAGTTTTTCAAAGGAACAGGGTATAAATTCAAAGGATTTTCTCTGTCTGATGAGTTACAAATGCGTAATAATTAGTAATTTAGGTGAGTTTCAATAGGAAATTTTTTAATTGGGGTTTTGGGGTTTTGGGGTTTTGGGGTTTTGGGG